GACCTAAGTGTACAACTAAACAGACCTGTTAATACCCATTACTTGAGTGTACAACTACAATAGCCCTGTTAATACCCATGACCTGAGTGTACAACTAAACAGATCTGTTAATACCCATGACTTGAGTGTACAACTAAACAGACCTGTTAATACCCATGAAAAAATATAACAATTTAACCAACTAAAAAAAAACAATCACCCGTGAAGAAGGAAGATCTACTTTCGAAGAATGCTCATGTTGTGGTTTATCTTATTTTGTTGCAGATGTGAAGAGTGGAATCCAGTTAGCAAGTTATAGCACCGACCACCTGTCGGAAAGAAGTACGGAAAGCAAAGAACTAAGAGAGTCTTCTGAAAGAGATAGGGAATTTGACGATGGTGACCAACCACGGCATGCTTCAGCTAATGATATTCAAATTGCTAGAAAGGAAGATGATACAGAAACCTCTACAGATCATGGCAAAGAAGGAGTTATTGTTGGAGAAAAACAAATTCCTGACATATCTCTCCATGAGGCTAGACCAAGCGACAATGGTCAGAAGCATGACCCCGTCATTGTTATGACACAGGCTGGACAAAAGGAATCAGTCTTCATGAGGTTAAGTAACCGTATTAAAGCTCTGGAATTAAACATGTCTTTAAGTAGTCGCTACCTTGAAGAACTCAGCCAACGTTATCGTCGCCACATGGAGGAGATGCAGAAAGCTTTTGATCGAACCATTGGAGCATTAAATGATACAGCGCGAGATGCAACGGATAGGGTAAGTATGAAATATAAACTCGTTTCTTCAGTGTAAAGCACCCTATCAAACTCTGGTTGTAATTGGTCCTTTAAAAGAATAGTGACTTCTTCACTGCCAATCTGCTGAGATACCTTATTGCTTTCTGGGAAAGTTTGAGTTGGTTGAATTTTTTCTTGGATGTCACTAAGATTTTTATCTCCTAAAGAATGACTTAAAATGGATGATTGATCATATGGAGAACTTCCACTGGTGTTTTGTGTTGTCAGCTTGGGAATAACACTCTCTGGCATAACAACTGTTGACTCAGCCAGTCCAGAGGAAGACAAAGTTGCAGTAGAATAGAGAATTTCTTCTACGTTATTACCAAGCTCTGGTGCGGTTTCTTTCTCACATTTAGTATCCTTATCTACCACTGGTTGACGAACACTGTACAGCCAACACAGTTCGTCAAGAGCCTTAGGTCCTAACATAACGTGTAGAAACCGACATGCTAGACTTGATACATCAGCATGCAGTTTGTTGTGGATGTTACAGAGATCACAAGTAAATAGATGAGGAATCAACATGTTTACACCATGAGGTAACAGAATCTTCTTCCTACAATCCTCAGTCAGGTTACCTATTGTGCTGCCAGATAGGGAGTAATTAGTCACAGGCTTGACTTCAGTGTCAGAGCTGAAAGAGGAAGAAAAGCAAATCTGGATCTCAGGCAAGAAAGACTTTACTAAAGGTAATAAAGAACACTTCTTATAAATTCTTACCAAAGAGCTTAACTTTCCTGAACCTTAATAAATCACAGGTCAAAAGAAAGTGTGTTCATCACAACATTTTATGAACTTGCATTACTTAAAGTCGGAATTCATTATTGGAAGAACAAAGTTAGTTCATATGTAAGATTTTCCAGTTAATATCAATAATTTTCTGAAAAAAACATTTCTTCATGAGCATGTACGGCACATGTTTTCACAGTCTGGATGTGAAAATGTTTTTTGTAATTATCTTACAATAGTTTCTTACTTTATGAATTAAAAGTTAAAAATATGCTGAAGAAATTATCATATGACCTTTGAACTTCTGTTGGGGGTTCAGTAGCCACATCTTTATCTTCCTTGATCTCTAGAATAAAACATAACATGTCAAATGTTACAAACGGATAACATCTTATGTCAGTGTATGCAAATAACACTAACAAGTCTCTCTCTATTAAAAAACATCGCATCCCAAACATTAGAAAAAAAAATACATCTAAGATGTAGAAAGAGTGGCATAACAACTAGGGTTTAAGAAAAGTGACAAAACAACTAGGGTGTAAGAAAAGTGACATAACAACTAGGGTGTAAGAAAAGTGACATAACAACTAGGGTGTAAGAAAAGTAACAT